GAAGAAGGAGAAGAAGAAGACGAAGAAGATCAGAATCAGATTCAGTATCAGAATCAGAAGAGAAAAAAAGATGGAAAAGGAGGAGAAGGAACAACAGAAGAACAAAAAAAGAAGAAGAAGACGGAGAAGAATAAAACCTTAGGTTAGTTCGACTTCCCACGCTATTTAACATAAAAAGGTACAAAAGACTTATGCAAAATAAATCACCGAGCTTGAAAGCGGCATTTTCTCCCGAATACCTCGGAAAGCGAAATGACACGCTGAGGGGTGTCGTGTGTCGTGTGTCAGGCCGCATTGGGTCCTCGGTGTCAAATCGGCAACGGCTGGTTCTTGCTGACTGGAAATCTGTGTCAAAGTTCTGGCGTTGGATTCAAAGACCCGTCGATGCTGAGAATGAGAGGAGAGAAAAACAAGAAAAGGAGAGAGAAATGCGCGAAAGAGAGAGAGATTGAATGAAGGGAGAAAAACAAGAAAGGAGAAAGAAATGCGCGAAAGAGAGAGAAATTGAGTGAAGGGAGAAAAACAAGAAAGGAGAAAGAAATCCGTGAAAGAGAGAGAAATTGAATAAAGGGAGGAAAACAAGAAAGGGGAAAGAAGGTGAGAAAGGGGAATTAAGGGTGAAAAAGGTAAATAAAGGAAGAAAAAAGAGAAGAACGAGGAGGGAAGAGAGAAAGAAATATGTGTGAGAGAAAGAGAGAGAGAGAGATAAAGAGAGAGAGAGAGAGAGAAAGAGAGAGAGAGAGAGAGAGAGAGAGAGAGAGAGAGAGAGAGAGAGAGAGTGAGAGAGAGAGAGAGAGAGAGAGAGAGAGAGAGAGAGAGAGAGAGAGAGAGAGAGAGAGAGACAGAGAGGGAGAGATGAGAGAGAGACGAGAGAGAGACGAGAGATAGACGAGAGAGAGAGAGAGAGAGAGAGAGAGAGAGAGAGAGAGAGAGAGAGAGAGAGAGAGAGACGAGAGAGACGAGAGAGAGACGAGAGAGAGACGAGAGAGAGAGAGAGAGAGAGAGAGAGAGAGAGAGAGAGAGAGAGAGAGAGAGAGAGAGAGAGAGAGAGAGAGAGAGAGAGAGAGAGAGAGAGCGTGAGAGAGAAAATGAGAGACAATATGACAAGCCCGGGAAAAAACATCATGAAAAAAGTGAAAATGAGATGACTGAAAATAGTAAAATGATTATCTTTACAAATCCAGATGTGTTATTAAAGTAATAACAATTATTAGAACTACTGTAAGCTTTGCAAAGGCCTTAGCAGTAGTAAGAACAAGAGGAAAGGTTAACTATAATTTCTCCATTTCCATTCTTTTCTGGGAAAATACTATGAAACGTTATATGGAAAACTGCAATGAAATATCTGGAAAACTACTATGAAATGTTATCTTGAAAACTACTATAAAATATTACAAGAAAGATTTACATGCACATTAGATATATCCAGACTTTCCAATTTGGTAGATAGACAAAGAAAAATTTATAACACCTTGCAAGTGTATGTAAATTATCACAAATTGCATCGGAAGGAAAAATATGCGTACTCTTTTTTTATTACATATACCTTAAAGAACGCACGGTACAACATCCAAAGTATAAACCAGCAATGGTATCAATAACTACAACAACAACAGCATTAACAACAATATCAGAAAGCGCAGCAAACAATAACGACAGAAGTAGCAACAACAACAACAATATTAACAACACAACAGAATCTGCAACAAACAACAAAAGCAATAGGAAACAGGGACAAGAACAACAACAAAAAGAACAGAAAACAAGAACAAAATCAGAAACGGCAATAACCAACAATAAAACTAATAACAGTAACAACAACAGTAACAACAACAATAATAACAAACACCATCATTGTAGCAAACAGCAACAACATCAAATAATAACTACAACAACAGCAACAAACAAAGAATACCGAACAAGAACACCACCACCACCAAAATCAACAATAACAAAGAAACAAACAAACTAATGAACAGCGCAATCCAATAGAGTGACAAGGACCTGCCCTTGCCCTGTGTATTCCGGGAAAATGTGCCTTGGTGAGAAAAATGCATTTGGCAGAGTAGGCGCTCTCGGGACCGTGTTTCTCTGACGCGGATAAAAAGCCTAAGGAACAAAGATAAATTTCCTGATAAGAGTAACATACTTAAGCAGGACGAACGGCATAAAAAAGGGAGAATGAAGAGGGATGGAAGTGGAGGGCGAGTGGAGAGGAGGAGAGCTAGATCAGTGTTCTGTGTGTGTGTCTGTTTGTCTCTCTCTCTTTCGCTTTCTCTCTTTCTCTTTCTCTCGTACACGCATGTGCAAACACGCACGCACACGCACGCGCACAAAGACACACACACACACACACACACACACACACACACACACACACACACACACACACACACACACACACACACACACATACACACACACACACACACACACACACACACATACACACACACACACACACACACACACACACACACACACACACACACACACACAC